CAGGTTGCAGTCTGGTGACTTTATGCAATCTGGCGGTCAACCCAGGTGCCAAAGAAAAGTGCAAGACTGATATTGGCAGGCTATGCGGGTAATTTCTCGCTTTCTCTGTGTTGCAACATGGAAAGCCCTAGGTGTGCAGGATGGAACATCCTGAACAAAACTTGCCAGAGATCAGGAACAAAGAGCCCATTCCGGGTGGCTAATGTTGATTGTGGATTATTTCTGCTATGGTGATAATTAGGATGACCCAATGCAACAAGAGAACAGGACTGCTATACAGCTCTGAAAGGCACGTAAGAAGTTTTTGAAAGGCGTGAGAAAGCAATGCCTGCTTCTTTGGACGTGACTGTTAAAGATGCAGGAGCTGCGTTCTCTTTCAAATACTGCAGCAGGCAAGGTAGCTGTCTTCAAGAGCCACATCAGCCTCCCGCCAGAGCATATACAGCTAAGTGGTTCCAACGACAGCCACTAGATGGACACAATTCTATGTACACTGAACATTGCGCATTTATAAAAATCGGCACTGTAGAGATGGCAAGGACGAAATAGACCAAGAAGACCAGTCAGAAAAAAAGTAATTACAAATTCCACATCCTCGTAGTCTGAATGCATTCGTCTTGTCCTCCCTGAGGTTAAGTATTGTGCATGTAAAGTGCTGTCAAGTCGCAGCCAGGGGCTTTCAAGGTAAGTGAGAAGCAGAGGTGGTTGGCCGTTGCCTTCCTCTGCAAAACCTTCCTTGGTGGTCTCCTTCCAAGTACTGACCCTGCTTAGCTTCCAAGATCTGATGTGATTGGGCTATACAATGCTGTTTTCTGTCCCGATGTTTGGTATTAGGGGACCATTATGGTTGGCTCGTGATGAAAACACACAAGCGGATGAAACAGCCATACTGAGTCTATTAATGTCAGTATTGTCTGCTCTGACAGGCAGCAACCTACTGTCTGGGCCTGTCAACTGAAGAGACTGAGGACTGGACCTGGGACCTTCTGCATGCAAAACAGATGCTCTGCCACTGAGACACAGCTCCCTCCCTTCCTTGGCCCAAGAAGGAAATGACACACTTTTTTTCATATGTACTTGGATGAGACCCACTTTTAACTCTTTTTGGGACCCACTTGCAAAATAATTCCATGCTGTTCCTAAACACACCCCCCCAAAAAAAATGCAGCAATCTCATGTCATTTTTGCCTTGGATTCTGACAGCAGAAAGGCAGTTTAGAAATTTAAGCGAAACAAAGCGGTAGGGGAAATCTAAACGCTTAGAAGGTTCAAAAGTCCTCTTGTGGGTTTTGTGTTTGTTTTGTTTTGTGTATCTTCTGCTGCTGATGAAAAGACATAAAAGCATACATCACAGCCTAGATGCGCTTTTCGTCAAAGCTAGCAGGAGATTTGAGAAGACAAGACTCAGTGGAAAAGACAATAATTCCTGGAATAATTGAGGGCAGTAGAAAGAGAGGAAGACCCAACAGGAGATGGATTGGCTCAATAAAGGAAGCAGCAGTCTTCAGTTTGCAAGACTTGGGAAAGGCTGTTAATGATAGGACATTTCGGAGATCACGAATACATACGGTTGCCACCGTAAGTTGGAAGCAACTCAGTGGCACATAACACACACACAGCAGGAGATGTGAAAAACAAAGCTGATTTAAGCTTTTTACATTTGACGCAGCCACTTAAAGATCAGCATTAAAAAGGAAAGAAAAGATCACTTTAGAAGCAGCCAGATACTCCAAAGAAGTAGAACTGAACGGAATCTCAGAGGCTCCAATCACACAGAGGGTGCCCCCTAGTGGACAAATGACACACAGAGATTGGCATATGGCGGGGAGGGGTGGCATAGACGGCTCTTGTCAGTGCTGAACCATTAGAAGACTTAAAACATAAGAAGAAAGCAACCAAGGGTGTAAGGGGAGAGATACTGCAGTCTAGGCTTCAGAATATCATGACTGGATCACCACAGAGGGATCCAGGTGGCCACAACACAGTCCAGAAAGTAAGGGTTGGGCAGGGAGAAGGCACATTTCTTGCAAACACATCCAGGCGGAAGGAAGGATTACACACACACAGGGCCCCGAAGCACAGAGATGTGCAGGGAGCTAGAGGCACGGATGACTGACATCCCTTCAGCGTGGGGACGCGGTTCCGGCATGTTGGAACGTGCATCTGGGAAGGCATGTCGGGCCCCAGTCTGTGCGTTGGCAGGTAGGAGGAGCTGGAGCCAAGCAGAACCAGCAGGTTTCGCACGCAGTCTGGGCACACCCTGGGGCAGGAAGGGGCAGAAATGTTGGGACATGCCCCAGAGTGCAGAGAACAGAGCATAGGAGCCAGTAGGACTCACCCCCTACAAGCCCTGGGCATGACAGCCCTTGCATACCGGTTTCAGAGTCTGGTCATCAGTTCACAGGGCACACATGTGCACGGAGGCATTTTGCATGCCTCCATTGTGCCGATATGGATGAATTTTCTCTGGAGCCCCTTGGTGAGATTAGGACAAGGCAGCAACCCCAAAAGGGTAGTGAAAGAGCCCCTAAAAAGCTAAGACCGAGCACCTTCCTGGGCCAACCGTTGAACAAGGTAGAGCTCCAGGATAATGCTGCAGACCCATGGAATGGAATGCCCTTCCAATCACATTCCCACTCACAGATTGCCACAATACTTTGGGAGGATACTCTCCCCTCATTTCTGATGTAATGAAGCAGTGCTGAGAAACTCTCAGTGTGGCAGTAGTTCCACCGGGGCGGTGGTGGGGGAGGGAATGGTTGTGTGAATTCCTGCATGTCCAAAACCAAGGTTTCTTTTGGTGGCTTCAAAGGGTAGATCTGGTAGCAAGTCTGAACTCGAGAGCCTTTGCCTTCCCATACTGGCCAGATTCCAGTTCAGTTTTGGATGCTCTGTTCTGGCATGAGAAGCATGCGAAACAGCAGCCAAACCCTATTTCAGAGGCAGGCTCAGCACTAGGTTTGGTTTCTTCGCCACCTGTTCTAAGCCCCAGAATATGTGTAAGAGCCACAAATAGCTTTTTGACAGATAGGATTTTCATTCCAGGTTGTGACAGACCATGAAGAATTCTTGTAATTATGATGGTGCCATCTTGCAAGCTGGCACAGTTGCGCTGCAGCTATGCAGAGGTGCGAGCATAAGTACACCAACAGCACAGCCATGCTAATCCTGTGAGGCCTGCTCACCTCTAAAAGTTGCTCTCAGATTGATTGTGACATGCAGGGCAACTAGTTTTCAGGTACAATTCAGAGGGATGGAGCTTGACTACTGCAGTGGGCTTCATGTGGGGCTGCCCCTGAAGATTGCTCAGAAGTTGCAGCTAGTTTTGTTTTGTTTTGTTTTTAAGTGATGCAATAATTCAGGAAAGGCAGAGAAAAGCATGCAAGGTCTGTTATTCATGAACTGGCTGTCTGTCTGATTCCATGCACAATAACTCAACTAACACATGCTTGGAATTCGGGCTTGCCACTTCTTACTCAATACATAGACTGGTGATTTTTACAGAGGAGGCGAGCCACCATTTCAACAATGCACCAGATTTCCCGTGAGACTGGTTTGCCTTGTGAAAGTCTCGTCCAGGAAAAACACACACACACATAATGACCTTTTCAAGATCAGGTGAATCGGTGTTTAGAATATAGAACATATGAATGGGAATTGAGCCATTTCTGTCATGCGGACAACACCTGAATAAAATATGCTCAACTGCACATCTGCTGCCAAGGACAGTTATTCCTCAACACTCTCCAGGATCAAAGTATCTTAGACATTTTGTCTCTTTCCAAAGGATAAATTGTACCCATTTTGTACTTAGGGTCCTCACTCTACACTGAGACTCATGATGGAGATGAACTTTGGACTCACACTTTCCATAAGTATGCCCAATAATCCTGTCTCCTGGACAGTAGTGTGGATCTAATCTGAGGCTGGAGGAAATTTTTCCATCTTAAGGAGCCTTCCTTCTTCTTAAGTGGGTCTTCTGTTGGATGAGTCCTCATTAGGCTAGAGGAAAGCTTCAAAATCTGCTCAGTGGAGTAGCAGGACAGTGCTAGGATGCACACCAGTGTACCAACCAATGTTCCCTGAGCAAAAATTCTACTTTGTGAGCTACTGGCATTAAAGTTGTGAGCAAGCTATTTGGCTACTGCATAAATTAGTTTGCTCTGGAGCCATCTTTCCTGAGCTAAGAGAAAAATGTGTGAGCCGGAGGCTAAAAAACTGTGAGCTAGCTCACACTAACTCAGCTTAGAGGGAACACTGGTACCAACCTCGTGCCACCAGCAATGCTCCCTCTAACCCGCAGAGTCCTGTGAGCAAAAATTCTACTTTGTGAGCTACTGGCATTAAAGTTGTGAGTGAGCAATTTGGCTACTGCATAAATTAGTTTGCTCTGGAGCCCTCCTTCCTGAGCGAAGACAAAAATGTGTGAGCTGGAAGCTAAAAAACTGTGAGCTAACTCCCACCAACTCAGCTTAGAGGGAACACTGGCCACCGGTAACATTCAGACAGTGGATTCCTTAAATGCTTCTCTTAGGATTGGCAGCCCTTCCAATAATCGGGGTAGAAATCAATCAGCACCCAGTTAGCACCTCTAGTGGCAGAAAGTGCCATTAAATTGCAGCCAATTTATGGTGACCCTGTGGGGTTTTCAAAGCAAGAGATGAACACAGGTGTTTGCCATTGCCTGCCTCTGCACAGCAACCCCGGAATTCCTTGGTGGTCCCCCATCCAAGCAGTACCTAGGGCTAGCCCTGCCTAGTTTACAAGATCTGATGAAATTGGACTAGACTGGGCAGTCCAGGCCAGGGCAGTAGTGCCTGTACATGGCTGGAAAAGATTACCTTGTGCTACAACACACCACCTACCTGCACATTACTGAAATCAAATAAGCCGTCAATGTAGGAAAGAACTCCGAATGCCAGAGCCTCTCAGATCAAACTGGCACCCATGTCTCCTCGCCCGCCCTCTGCCAGCCCTCCCTATTTCCCCCCACAACTCACACAGCGATGCCATCTCCTTGGGCAGGTCAGTAGGGAAACTGCGGAAGTAGCCTCCATTGGCGAGCACCTCAAAGTGGGGGTTAGGGAAAGGGAAAGGGTATACGGCAGACGGGAAGCCATTGACATGAGCCAGGGGGGTTCCTCCAGAGCAGCCCCTCTCCTTGTTTCCTGCCATGGCTGGGCGCACGAGTCTGCTGGCTGAGAGATTCTGCTTAGCAGGTCTGGGTTGCCCTTTCAGTGCTCCGTACAGATGGTCCCATGGCGGCTACATCTATGCAACTTTGCAGCTCTGGAAGAAGACGTCTCCCTTCACCTTTTTCTTTCTGGTCCGCAGACCTGCGTGCAAGAGAAGAGACACACCATTAACTTGAGGATCATTTATACACACCATAGCCCGTTCCCAACATTATTTCTCTTGCTCAACAGTTCTTGAATATGACAGAGAAGCAGGAGTTGGGGGAAGCCAGTCCTCACTGGACAGAAAACCAGTACACCCATTTTGATAATGGCATTAATGAAGATGCTGAAAGCAAAAAAGACCAGTCTTCTTTAGTACCATGTATTGCCTATTTAAGATCCTTGGGTTGGTCTCATGTACGGTCTGACATTAACACAGTACCAGATGAAGCTCTGCAAAGCTTACACTGTTCACCACTCACCTCTACCTATATGCATGGACTGGTAATTTCCATTTTGTTTCTGTCTCTGTCTTGATGGTAAGTGGCAACTAACCCCCCCCCCCTCTTCCTATATGTAATGGATCAGGAAATTCTGTTTCACTGTATCTGAAGAAGTGTGCTCAAAGGACTCAAACTTTGTTCTGCTGCTTCAGACCAACACAGCTACCCACCCGAATCTATCTTCGGTTCACCACTGCCATTGCTCTGAGCAACTCTAATACTTCCAGCACTGACTATTCCTTCTCTTATTAACCAAAACTAACTTTTGTACAGAAAACTCAAAGAGAAGAAACTCTGAAACCTTTTGAGATGAAACTCTAGGAGAAGAGGCATGAAACGTACTGAGTCAGACCACTGGTCCACCAACATCATCATCATCATCTACATCCATCTTGTCTCCCTAGTATTGCCTACTCTGACTGGCAGCATCTCTCCCAAGTCTCAGGCAGAGGCCTTTCACATCACCTGCTGTGTGGGCTGACCCTTTCTAAAACTGAAAATGGTGGGGATCAAACCTGAGACCTTCTGCATGCAAAGGCTATTTCCCTGAGGCACGGCCCCTCCACTAAAAATTACGAGGATGCAAGTAAGATTCTGAAGTTCTCAACGGGCAATCTGGATAGAGACACTCAAAGCCTCTCGATAGAGACGCTCCAGATTGCCCATTGAGAATACACTATGTATTAACAGGATAAGTAAGGAAATTGTTTGTGAGATAAGAAGAACATTGTAAATTCGTTCAATGATGAATAAGAAACAAGCGACACAATATTGTTAATATGGTACCGTTCGGATTAAGTCCTTACGAAACGAATAGACAGTCTGGAGAACTTCGTCAACAACTGTTTTGATTGTATATGGACCCCCTTTTTTGCACTTTATACTTGTTCTAGTTATCTATTTTAAACTTAACAAGCATGGATGGCCTTCCTATCAGCTGCCCCAACAGGGTAAATGAGGGTTGCTGCCAACTTCCAGGTGGGAGCTGGAGATCTCCTGGAATTAGAACTGATCTCCAGACTATGCAAGTACCTTATTTGTTTGTGTGTGTGTGTGTGTTCATTCTACTTCTCCTGGACAAAATGGTTGCTTTGAAAGGGCCTTCCCCTCCCTAAACCCCAGTCTCCTAGGCTTCACCCTCAAATCTCCAGGTATTACCTAACCCAGATTTGGCAGCCCTAAGGTAAACAGTGGCTTCTTGCCGCAATTTCAGGCTAGGAAAACAGCAGTGGGGGAGGACTTGACCCTCCTCCCCACCAGCATTCCCTCTAAGCTGAGTTAGTGTGAGCTAGCTCACAGTTTTTTAGCCTTGCTGTTATACCAATTTTAATTTTTTATGTATAGCGCTTGATTACAGCTTTCTGTTGTCCTTTAGCCTTGGCATTCAGGAAAAGCAAGTGTGTCTGTCTGTATGGGGCAGGAGGAGTCTCCTTATACTAGCTCGAAGGAGGAGGAGGAGGAAGAGAAGGGGAAAGGGGCGGCGGCGGAGGAGGAGATTGGATTTATACCCTGCCCTTCACTACCCGAAGGAGTCTCAAAGGGTCCCCACCAGGCCCGTAGCTACAGTGGGGCATCTCGTGGCACATCCCCCCACTTCCTGCCAAGGCCCCCTGACTTCCTGTCTAGCCCTTCAGCAGCGCTCAGAGGCCGGCAGGGCCTGGCCGGTGTGCCTCTGCCTCCTCCTCTTCTTCCTCCTCTTCCGGTGCCTGGGGGCCAAGCTGGAGCGCCAGCAGAGGCCAGCTCTGTGCGCTCGGCTTCCAGGGCACGTTGGGGGAAGGGCTTGAGGTCCCAAGCTGTTGGTGGCAGCGTGGGGCTCCCAGGTGAGGAAGTGGTGTGAGGCAGCCAGGCCAGTGGGAACTTTTGGTGGTGCTTAGAGGCCGGTGGGGCCTGGCCAGGGCACCTCTTCCTCCTCCTCTTCTGTCTCTCCTCTTCTTCCCGCACCTCCTCTTCTTCCTGCACCTGGGTGCCCAGCCGGAGTGCCGGCATAGGCCAGCTCCGTGGCACTCGGCTTCCAGGGCGCGTCAGGGTAACATTTAAAGCTGGGAAGGGATAAGTTATAATATCTCAAGTAATTTCTGGCCCCAAGTTTGCCAAACTGGGGGAAACTAACTACACTGTTGCACCATTTGTGGGCCTGTCCCAGGCCCACTAAGCGAAGACATCCCAGATGCCCAGTGAAATGTAACTTTCAGGCACGTGGCGGCCCATTTCAGATCCGGACCGCGGGGGTGTGTGTGTGTAGAGGACTTAAGCCCTCCTCCAGTACTGTTTTCTGGACTTGAAACAGCAAGGCAAAGTTATTATTTGCCCCACTGGGGAAACTTAACAAGCATGGATGGCCTTCCTATCAGCTGCCCCAACAGGGTAAATGAGGGTTGAGGGTGGAAGGTCTGGGGGTCTTGAGCTGGTGGCAGCCACCGCCATTTCTTCCATGCTTAAAAAAAAACAACACCCACCCTTTTTAATTTTCCTGGAATTAGAACTGATCTCCAGACTATGCAAGTACCTTATTTGTTTGTGTGTGTGTGTGTGTTCATTCTACTTCTCCTGGACAAAATGGTTGCTTTGAAAGGGCCTTCCCCCCCCTGAATTGAAAAATCCTGGCTACAGGCTTGGTCCCCACATTCATGAGGACTCAGCTTCAGTACAGAACTGCCAGCACGCATGAACTGAATGTATGTATTGAAGAAGCTGCAAACGGGACTCAGCAAAAGCCGATGAGTGGATTCTAACAGGCTACGTTGAATGGGATGCACTGGGATTTAAAAGTGGAGCTATCCCTCCTTGGAGAATACAGAAAGGAGTCCCAAAGAGTCTTGAAGTTCTGAAAACCTGGGAATGCACATGTTAAGGGAAGGATCACTGCGGGGCAGATAAAGCAGCAGGGATGGCACAGACAAAAGAAATCAGGAACGGAAGAGAAGGGAGGAATTAGATGGAAAGGTTTAAAGGAAACATGGGAATAATGTTGCTGTTCTTTCTACTGGCCCAGCTCCTGTCCCGGTAACAGCAGCTCAACACAGAGAAATTTAGCAGATGGTCTTCCCACCACTTGTTTCCATGCCAGGAAAAGTTTCATTTGCTTAATTTCTTGCACATGAGGGTACCTCCAGTGATTAGAGAACTGGACTAGGATCTGGAAAAACCCTGTTCAGATCCCTACATTTGTGTTGTCAAGTCACAAGTGACTTACGATGACCCCAGCAAGGGGCTTTCGAGGCAAGGGAGGAGCAGAGGTGGTTGGCCATGGCCTTCCTCTGCAGAGTCTTCCTTGGTGGTCTCCCATCCAAGTACCGACCTTGCTTCGCTTCCGAGTAGGGTTCCCAAGTCCGTTTTTCTTCGCAGCGGGGGGCTCCCGGACGGCGTCGCGAGCGCGCCCGCAAGCCGCAATCATGTCAGCCGGATGTGACGTGATGACGCCGGGCACGCTGGGGGCGGGGCCACAGCCATCTGAGGGGAAAACTCTGGCCCCGCCCCCAGCGTGCCCGGCGTGGTCGCGTCACTTCCGGGTGACATGCACGTTGCGGACTTTGGGGGTGGGGTTCCCCCGGGGCCCAATCCGCCGGCGGCAGGGAACGGGCCTCTGGGGCGGGGTTTTTCCCGCCCCCTGGGGGGACTTGGCAAGCCTACTGAGCCCCCCCCCCGCTCCCCCAGCCCTGCCCTGT